TTTTGAGGCAGCCTCAAATGCAGCTTCAAGTGAAACTGCTTGTTCAAGCTGTCTGATTTTTGCCTCCTCTGGGGTGAGCAGGGGAATGAAAATTCTCTTTGTCAACTTCCTTTCATTCAGGGGTCTCAGGATCCATGCCCATATATCTGTGATAGATTATATTATCACTAATAATGCATTGGCAATTGTTGATATAGGCTCCTTGCAAAAGATGAAACAGGTCCTAGAACCTCGCAAGCTTAAAATTCAAGGAACAGACAGTGCAAGAATTGTACTAGCCCTAGCCTTCTCGACTTGAGTTTGGTGAGAGACTCATTTGCAGTAACTATTAGGGGATTCGCTGAAGGACAGTGCTTGCCAATTCATCTGTGACTCATGCTTCATGGCAACCTAAGCCAGTTGACATTATTGCAAGGTTCTCCGAATAGAAAGTGTTATCACTAGTAATTTACAAAAAAAAAAAAAAAGTGTAGTCCCTGGATTTTCATTTAGGCTAAATCCAATTCTTATGGCTTGGCAACATTATTTTATGTTCTGTTGATTCCAGCTGATAATGGTTAAGATCAGACAATTATAATGTGAGTCCAGTAAAGATAGCAAAACATATGTGTAAATTCTAACCTACCTGTATTGTATTTTGCCGCAACAATTGGGCTACCATAAGAAGAAAAATATTGTAAGTTGCTGTGTTTAGATCAATGCAAAAAGGCTTCTCCTGCCTCCCCTATTCCTAGTTGTTAGGCTGACTTCATTATAGGGTGGAGAGGGGGGAATCACACCAGGCACTGCAGGCCATCCTCACGTGGTTCCTCAAAGAGGCCCCATCTGGTTGCAGAGACCTCTTTCAGAGCTCTGAAAGAAGTGGTCTCCATCTTGATCTAGACAGGAAGTGACAAGACACTGTCAGGCATGATGCCCCATACCAATAACTTCCAATGTATTAAAAATCATAAGGAATTGAGGTGTGTGCTTTGGACCTCAGGTCAGTGACCCACAGGGCAAGCATAGAATTGTGTCCAGCCTGACAACTGGCTTGGGCACAACATACTGTAAAGCACACCTTATTTCCTAATTCATTTTTACCCATATTGGCTGCTATTGGCCTGAGGCACCTTGCTTGAGCACAACTTGAACCCAAACAAAGTGCTGGGCTGGGTGTGACTATGTGATAGCAGGTTATGATAATGACTATTAAACAACAACATACTGTTAAGTTGTACCTTGTGACTCGAATGTTTTGGCTCCCGAACACCACAAACCCAGAAGTGAGTGTTCCAGTTGGCAAACGTTCTTTGGAACCCGAACTTCTGACGCTGCTCCTGTGGCTTCCGATTGAATGCGGGAAGCTCCTGCGGCCAATCAAAAGCCACACCGTGGTTTTCGAACATTTTCAGAAGTCAAATGGACTTCCAGCACAGATTCTGTTCAAGAACCAAGGTACGACTGTATGTCAATGCTGGTATAGTGAAGGAAATTTACAATACGTATTTGTATTAGAGAGGTTTTTCTTCATGAGTGTTGTACTAAAGGTACAAATGCTCCCGTTAAATATTTTAAAATCATTTGCTCCTTTAGGAAGAAGAGAAGATATGTAATAAAAATAAATCAAATAAGGTGACCCATTTGACCCTATAGAAACTAAGATACTGCAGCCTCAGTGCCTGTTAGTTTTCAACTGTTTCTGTTTTCAGGCACTTCCAGTAGCAACTTGTGACGGAGAATGGCCTCATTTTGCATCAAACTGGACATTGCAGCTATTAGTATGTTGCTACTTCTGCTAGCTTAAATGTTATCCTAAAAATGATTTTTATAATGAATGATTTTAGAATGTTGTTTATGTTGTACTTTTGTACTGTTTTATTGTTGTTAGCCGCCCTGAGCCCGGCTTCGGCTGGGGAGGGCGGGATATAAATAAAATTTATTATTATTATTATTATTATTATTTTATCTCAGCTTTATTTTTACTAGACTATATTGGATGCTGTGTGTTGTGAAATGCCTCTGTAAAATTTGTGTTCCACTAATTCCTTTAATACTTTTATTGTGTGATACTGCTTCCAGTACTTCCCAAAGGCATCACCTTTTATATTGGGTTTCTTTCCTGTACTGCTGCTGAGCTTGCATTCCGACTTGAGCAATCCAGCTATGGGGTTAGAGTTTTTCTAAACCTAAAATGCCAAAACACACAAGTTTACTGTAAGGTTTTGCTGTTCCTGCAGTTTCCAGGTGAATGGTGCAATTGTTTGATTTTTCCAAAGAGCACACTTAGTTGTTCAAGCCCTGGCAGGTTGTGTCATCTTCTCTTACACAGCAGCCTAAGAGGAAAGTGGCTATTTCGTCAGGCTGTGGGTTTTTCTGCATGTAATAGCTAAAATGCTGCACAAATGGTTCATAGAGTCCAAGAAACTGATGTGAAGAATTCCGTTTTTAAATCTTACATCCATGTTTTTAGAAGGACAATTATTGGGGTGGTATTAAACATACTCAATGGTAATCCTCCCACTGGAAGCTTTCTAGCTAGAATACGACTGTGTATTAAAAGTAATTGTCATGGTGGAAATGAGTAAATGCAATGCTCCTCACAAAATGTCTGTTCCCTGTTCTTCTGTGTCTTACCCAGCTTGGACTGACTGTGATGCCTTAGCAAGTAAATTCCTGTTGGTATTGGCAGCATTTGCAGCAAATGTTATAATCTGAGCTTGTAGAAATGCTTAATAACTTCTGCAAGTGGGAATATGCACTGTGCTTGACAAACCAGTTCTGAGAACAAGAATTAAATCTTCCTGCTAGGCAGAGATTTTAGCTTGAAGACAAAGAATTCTCTGGTAATGCTGTGCATGTGGAAGCTGGCGAAGAAGGATGGCTTACTAACATACTGTTTTGTGCCTCTTGTAAATATTTTCTCTTCATTATTTTCCTTTGCATTTACCGTGCCTCAGCAGCCATTTCCCACAGTGCTGCTGGGTGCATCTGTGGACATAGAACCATAGAATTGTAGAGTTGGAAGGGACCCTGAGAATCATCTAATGCAATCCCCTGCCATGCAGGAATACGCAGCTGTCCCATATGGGGATCGAACCTGCAACCTTGACATTATCAGCACCATGCGTATGGGGCTAGAAACATTTGGTTTGTTTTTATTTTAAGCAGCTTCTGGCAGCCTAAAAATGTGTGTGCGGTGGCATTAATCACACTTCTTTTCATGTTCCGCCTGGTTGTCTCAGTACTATTTATTTTAATCCTGTACATTTCTTGCCACATTTGCTATCACACATAACAAAGTTAAACACCGAAGCAATGAGTAAGGCTGTTCACAAAAGGGCACACTTACCTGCCACTTGAAACGATAACAGCGGGACACTTATTAGTAAGGACATTTGAGAGAGAGAGAGTGCACTGGCTTTCCAATTCAAAGTATAATCTTGCAATGGCAATAACGTTCCTTGTGAGCTCTTGTCAAGACATTTCAGAAACGTTGCAGAACTTGTGCTATTTTAATGTAGTACGAAAGCTTAGAAGAAGAGCCTTCAGGTGACTACCAAGAAAGGTTTAGAGATACTGGATTTCTATTATAATGACAAAATAACATATGACCTACAAGCCTACCTGAGAGTTGCCACCCTTTCTATATGACAATTCAGAAAAATACAAATTACCCATGGTGTGTAAGCTGTTGGGTCAAAGGAAGAACTCCTTTCAGAGCCTGACCTTGGAATTCTAAAATTCATAATAGCATGAATTCTTTTCAAACTGCATTCAAAACTAATTCCCACTATGAAATAAAAGGTGATACCTTTTCCTGTTAAAATTATCTCTAATGAGCCCAGGGCTCAGGTTTGATGGTTAAATTTCACATATCTCCTACTGGGCAAGATACTTGCAGCATATCCTATCCTATCCTATACAATACATTAGAAATACAATTCTGTTGTGTTCAGTGGGCCTTTGGCTGGGATCTCATACACACTTCCCTGGGTGTAAGGCCCATTCAGCACAATGAGACTCACTTCTGAGTAGAAATAGGATTGCACTGTTATGTTGACAAGTCTCCCATTGATATTCACTCCCTTGGCAGCTGTCTCTTCAAGGGGGAAAACAAAAATATGGGCATCCTATCCCATTCTGCTGGTAGTGTAATTTTACAGTGTACAGTAATTTTACAGTGTACAGTGGTACCTCGGGTTAAGAACTTAATTCATTCTGGAGGTCCGTTCTTAACCTGAAACTGTTCTTAACCTGAGGTACCACTTTAGCTAATGGGGCCTCCCACTGCCACCGTGCGATTTCTGTTCTCATCCTGAAGCAAAGTTCTTAACCTGAGGTACTATTTCTGGGTTAGCAGAGTCTGTAACCTGTAGCACCTGCAACCTGAAGCGTCTGTAACCCAAGGTACCACTGTAGTTGTAAAACCAGTGTGAGCCATCACAGCAATGTTCATTTTCTGTCATAGCACCAACATCTTTTAATGGGCTGCAAGTTTGATTATTTTCTCGCTGAAACGTAACAAAATATGGGCTGAATGGGGGCCTTGTGCTACCCTTGTTCTTACAGTGAGGTTACTAAAGCCTCTGTTGCCCATAAGAGCAATATTTTCGGTCAACATTTCCACCTGCTGGAAAGCTGGGGCTCCCCTGTACCAAAATTAACACAATTCCCTAGATATACTGAGTAAATGGGGTCATGTGAATCAATCCTGAGTAGCAAATGTTTTACCGTATTTATTTTTCTGATGGCAGCTTGAGCTTCCTATTGTGATAAAACATTGCATTCTTTTTAATTGTCTTTTTATTATGAGCACCGTCCTGCTTTATGGTATGGCATTATAGAAATAGTATAAATACAAGTGAGATGCAGTTCTGGGTACCAAATAATTTGAATGTAGGCAATCTTCTACACTGAAGTAACAGGTAGCCCCTTAAGGGGCCGGGAGAAGGTAAAAAGGGGAGGTATACGCATCACCTGTACTTTGACCCTTGTTCAGCCTCTCTTTGCTGTTTCAGGTGCTCTTGAACAATGGACATTGACTCTTCATCTGGAGCTCATTTATCCTGGTGACTGTGGGACCATGTCTACTCTCCACTATCTATAGATGGACAAGAACCCTCGCAGCAGTTCATCCACTTTGATGGTCTCCTTTGCACCCCAGCCACTGTGGTGTGTATTGTCAAGGTTGGTTTTTCATTCTCATACAGGATAAAAAAAGGTTACAGTGGTACCTTGGAAGTCGAAGGGAATCCGTTCCAGAAGTCTGTTTGACTTCCAAAACGTTCGGAAACCAAGATGTGGCTTCCAATTGGCTGAAGGAAGCTCCTGCAGCCAATTGGAAGCCCCGTCAGACGTTTGGTTTCCAAAGAACGTTCACAAACCAGAACACTCACTTCTGGGTTTGTGGTGCTCGGGAGCCAAAACGTTCAACTTGCAAGGCGTTCAGGATCCAAAGTACAACTGTATTTGGTGTTATGCTATAGAGATGGGATGGGGATGAGCTTTTTCACTGCTTGCTGGAGCTCTCAGTTCTAGGAACACGTATTCTTTTTGCTTGAATAATACTAGAGGCCTGCTGTGATCAGTGATCAGATTGAATATGCATGATAACATATGTGCCATTTTAGAAAGAATGGCAACTACAGGCTGTTCCTTTCTTTTTTGCCCTCTGAGGCTGTGGTGATCAAAGAGTTAACTCTGACCCTCCCCTGTACTGGCCTGGCTATTGTGCATCCCTTGCACAAAAGCCTTTCAGCTGCAAATTCCATTCTTGACTGGATGCAGCTGTTGGCCTCTGGGCTGCCTCTCTTGGGATGCAAGATGTAGAAGCCCTGGTCAAGCATGGGGACCTGCAAGGATCTGGTGCTTGTCCCTTTTAGGTGTGGAAAGTGTGTGATTTGTGCAGCTGTCTACTGCATGCAATGTGAATAATTCATTTCTCCTTCTCTTTGCTGTTGCCTGTTCTTCTCAGGTGCCTCCTTACCTCTCATTAGTGCAGGGCCTGGTATGTCAGCTGGAGGCAGGCTTGGTTTTTCCTGAGCCTTGATGGGATTTGTCAAGACCCTTTCCCTTTTCTTCCTGTTTATTGAACTTTGAAATAAAAGGGATGGCAAGAAGAAAGGAGCGTAAGAGCTGGATTGACCCTGGGAGAGAGAGATGTTGAAGACATTCTGATCCCCCTATTATTCCACAAGAGCTGAAGTGGGGGAAGTGGTCAAAATTGGTAGCAAAACCATTTCCTTTAAGAAGGCAAGGCCTCTGCTCTGGAACTGGGTGACATGGGTGGTTTTTTTAAGGTTTCCGCCTGGATTTTCTGTAATGCTTGTGAACACTGCTGAGTGATGTTCTGATTCTGACCTTGTGGACTCAAAGTTGTCTTGAGGCACAGACTACTGTAATTATTTCTGGCAAGAGCTAGAAATGTGGAGTACTAAGAGCAGTGGTTTGTTTTTTTACTGACGGGGGGGGGGGGAGGGAACAAAGTGCAAAGCCCCTAATGGATTTTGAATTGCCACTATTTTCATTACTTCATTTGAATGGGCGTTGGAGCCCTTTCTTGCCTGTAACATAAAAGCCCTCCTGTCCTTTTCAGCTAGGCACAGAGTCCTTATGTCTGCCACTGAGGATTATTCTACACAGAACTCAGTAAGAGATCTCTTCCCCTCACCAACAATTTGCCTTCTGTGCAGCACACCTTCACCTCAGGAACCTCACTTGGTTAGCACAGCAGTGCAGGTGAATTGTTATCACAGAAGGCAACTTGGCTTACACACAAAGCAGAGCCTGGGGGACTCTGCAGACCTCTCTCTAGTGCTGTCTGATCAGATCTTTCCCCCATTCTAATTCAGCCCCACCTTTCATTCCAAACATATTCTGCATGGGAAATGGGGGTCGAGGAAGGCAGTGTTAAAGGGGAGTTTTTAAATGGCAGTTGGTGAGCTTTTTATCTTTAAGGTGCCACAAGACTTTGTAATGGTTTAATTTACAGAGCTTTTAAAAGTGCTTAAAGAGCATTTATGCTTTTAGTGCCCTATTTGGATCTCCATAGTCTCCTATTCTTGGAGAGCAGACTACTCATGTGTCCAGGGCAGAATAGATGCAAAAAGAGTTTTAACTAGCCTTGAAAGATCCATCTCCACTTAATCCTTTCCAAGCACCTAGTTCTCTAAATATTAGAAATCTAATGTCAAGCATGCTATCAAAGGTTTTAATAGAGCCATTCAAAATGCACATTCCTGGCTGGGGTGAAAGGAATTTTTTGTGGAAGTATTAGGAACCTTCTGCTCTTATGGAAGTTAAATATTTCCCAACAGGTAGAATGAAAAAATGGGACCATCTTGGATGAAAGAATACTAAATGCTTTTGCTTGTTAAACAGATGAGTCTAGTGTGTTATACAGTGGCGTAGCGTGGGTTGTCAGCACCCGGGGCAAGGCAAGTAATTTGCGCCCCCTAACCCGTGGATTTGCGCCCCCTAACCCGTGGATTTGCGCCCCCTAACCTGTGGATTTGCCCTAACCCCAGATGTTGCGCCCGGTGCGGCCGGCCCCCCCTGCACCCCCCACGCTACGCCACTGGTGTTATAATAGTGGTGTGTTATATTACTAGTCCAGATCCAGCATGTCATAGTCCCAGTATTGAAGGCAAATATAAGCAAGCCCATTGTGGTGCTCATTTCCCAATTTTTTGTGCATTTGGTGTAGATAAAAAGCAAGAAGAATGCTGACCTCTCACTCTGCATAAGTGCGTGTTCTCCCTATCAAAAGAAACTGCTAGAAAGAATGCACACAGATTGAGGAAGTATATCTTAAATGAACCTGCAGAGGATGACTGTTTACTAAGCAATTTATATATCACCCATCCCACACTCAGGGTATCTAACAGCAATGACAATAATAGAACGTTTATATGCAACAGAACAAACTCTTACAAAATGCCGTTTCACCTAATAAAATGCAGCAAAGAATAAGAGCTTGCTGACAAAGCAACAACCCAAGCTGTAATCTCATTTATTTGGACTTCTTTTTTTATGATTCATCCTTTAGAGCACAAGGGCAATTCACTTACCGTTCACAAGTCTCCATTTCAGTAAAGAATCTCTCTTCATGGAGAACCTTGCATTAGTTGACCACACAGAGGGACGTCCGTTCACTAGTTTGCAGTTCAGTCCTTTTATGCATTTAGAAGTGCTGTGTTCAATGGGACTCGTGCCTAGGAAACTCTGTGTGGGATTGCACCCTTGATCATGTGAGACCTATGCAGTTACAGGCCAGATAAGGCTCACGCAGACCTTGGGGCTATTGATCAGTATGAGGGGGCACTGGAGCGCTTTCCTTTTTATAGAGAGCTTTCCCTTTCAAATCTCATTGAAGGAAGAAGAGATTCTCCTCCTCACCATGGGTTTGTTTCCCCATTTGTTTCACAGCCTAACCTCTGGGCTTGACAGTCCAGTCCGGAATAAATCAGCTCAGCAGGTTGTAAAATGCATAGGCCACTCAGTTGTGGTTTGTGATTCCATCAACACTTCATTTGGATTTATGATCTTCTTTGCTTTCTGCTATTAATTCCCCACTCCTCCATTCTCTCTATTTCTTGTTCAGCAACATGCCCCTGTGGTTGTCTGTGAGGACTGTCCAGCGTCAGGGAATGAGCTCTTCGGGCTGCAAGCAGGGATAAATTGGAAGAGTTTCTTTCTGGCATACTAGCTCCCCCATGTGCAAAGACCTCCATCCCACCGTACTACAAAAGTTGCAATTCCACGCATGTGGATTATGGTATGTGTAACTGGGAGATACCGGAGAATCTTGTATTTTCCTCCCAGCTCTAATTGGGCTTGTGTAGATATAAGTAGAAATAGGAAAGAATAGAATGCAAAAGGATTGCAATGTAAAGCAACAGAGTCTGACTGTGTACACACCATACATTCAAAGCACATTTCCCCACTGCAAAGAATCCTGGGAACTGTAGCTTACTCCCTCACAGAGCTACAGTTCCCAGAATCCTTAAGCTACAGTTCCCAGGATTCTTTGGGGTAGAGTTTTTTACATGTGCCTTAAATTTATGGTGTTTGGATTGCCTTTGGGTTGTTAAATTCCTCCTTTCCCTTGTGGATTGGGGTCATATTGCCCTAATCATATGCATCTGCTGCCCCCAACTTGCACACACCGCTCTAACACTGTCATTAAGCTTCTCCTTGCCAACAACCCCCTTGAAAAACAACACCCCCCCATCAACTTTTGCAAAAACTCTGAGAACAATGCAATAGAATGAGGAAGCCTGTGAAAAATTGTAACATTTTTATTATGAATATTATGAATATGGAGTGAGTCTTAGTCCACTTGTGGACTTGTCACTGTAAGCTATTCTTATTATTCTTTTAAATTCATATTCTGCTTTGACAAAAGTCCTCCAGGTGGCTTACAATTAAAAAATCTAATCAACCATCCATGGATGCATTCAAATGTAAGTACGGTAAGCAAACAATAAACAATGAAATTCATTAATGTAATACTTTATTTTAAATACATTAGAATAAATTTATATATTTTTAATCGGTCGATGTCATAACCTGTTATAATCTAGTTGCTCTTCCTTTCTAACTAACCAGACACTGCAGAACTGAGTGGGTTCTTTTAAAAAAGGTTGTAGATTCTCAGTTTCAATACTTGTCACTGTTTGTCCCGTGCACTAAGATAATTCTTCATCTGATACTTCGCTGTATCTTGCTTCTAGCAGGAAATGTGATTATTAGTGGCTCTTTTGTCAGAGCTACAGATCTCTTTTGGATAGAGGTGCAATAGAAATACAACTCTGCTTCTCCAGACACATATTTAAAATATGATGTTGTATAACTTCGTCTCAGCTACAACTGTACTAAGCATTTTCATTGTGAATCTCTTTATCACTGATTCCAGGGATGTTTCTTATGGTAGGATTAACTTGTCTAATCCAAAGCTGGGGAGCCTTTTTCAGGCTGTGGGCTACCTGGGCAGCCTTCTGAAGGCGACCTGCCAATAGTGGGTGGAGCCAGAGCAAAAAGTGGGCAAAACAAATCTGCAGATGTTACCTTTGTGCAGTAGGCTAGTGTCTATGTACACTCTCTGTCTTTCATCTAGGCAAGTAAGAGGCATTAGCAGCGTTCAGTGACAATTCTAGCTGGGCAGAAACACCCAATAACTTCATGAGGGCCAGGTGTAGCCTGATATGGAGTTCTGGAGAGCCACATTTGGTTCCTAGCCTGAGGTTTCCCATCCTGGCCTAATCCCCTCAAGCACAATTTATTTTTATTTCATAAAAATTTTATACCAGTTGATTGGGAGCAGGGAGGAAAACCCCTGCGCCTCTTTCTCAATATACTGTTGAGAGAGTGGATCTCATGGTGCTACTATAAAGAGTGCATACCTCTGTTCAGGATCAGGAATTTTGAAGCTTAAAATTTTAAACCACACCTCCTGCAACCCAGTCTCTACCAAGCACTTCTGCTCTTTGTTCCAGTCTTCTGCCGTGGAAGCCACGCTTGGTCTAGCAGGACCCAGGCTTTGCAAATCCTCTCCCCTGCTCACTTAGAGGCTTGCAGTGCCTACCCCTATATATAGTGTGCATATCTGTCACTGTCGGTGAAACAGCCAATGGTCTTGGCCAGCAAAGTACTGGAGAGCTATGCAGATAGCTTTAACCACCTTTCCTCATGCCCAATCATAGAGATTTCCCTATTTTTAGTGTGGTTGCTTCTCCTTAGGCAGACAGGAGACTTGTGTGTTGCTACTGTTACTACAGTGCCAGAAATAACTCCGCCTAAAGAGGACACTGGGTGGGCAGCTGGCATTGTGTATTCATGCCAGTCCATTTGCAAATATGTGAACGCCAACTGTGGCTGTTATCCATCTTTTGTCTCACGTATCATGATGTCAGTTATATCTTTTAACAATTTGGGATTCTGTGGGCAAGTTAAATTCCAAGGTGATTTCCAGTATTATATTTTCGGGAGCAGTCACCAGTTCTGGTTGTCATGAACCATCGTTTGTGCCCTTCAAACCACAGCACTAAATGTGTGCATAATTTCCACCCGGAGTGGCGTTTTGGAATGTTGTTGGTGTGCTGCGTAATTGCAAGGCACAAAGTTAGCCTCTGCATATTCTGAGCTATTTGAGTTCATGAGCATGCATATTCTAGGTGCTCTCCCCCTGCCCCCCCTCCCCGCCCAAATGCAGGAAGAATGATTATGGTGTGAGTAAGCACGGAAGCTGAATGTAGGAGGAGTCATTTATTGAGGAGGTCTACATGACCAAAAGCATTTTAGAGACAGGGGGGGTGCAAGTTCCAAGTAGACTTGCAAAATCTCGGTACTGATTGTTCTTTTCATTCTCTAAGAGTACGGAAGTAGTAGGAACTGCCCTTGTGGAACGTATCCCATTACAGCACTGCAAATTAATGGGAGGAACTGCAATCCTCTCTAGGCAGCACAAGGTAAAATGGCATGGGAACCCAGCCAGCCATGATGTCCCAAGATGAATGTGGGAAGGGAAATGATAGACCTTCAAGCAGAGTTGGGGGCAAGCCTAGGTATAGAAAAATGGGAGCATCCTGTTGAAAAGCTAAAGTCTACATCTCCTTTCCTTAGACAACTTTTCTTTAGACCCAGTGTGGTTCACATGTGATTATTTACAATAAGTGGTTTCTAGATGTCATGACTGTAGTCTAAGCATTCCTTGTGCCCTGCAAATATGTCTAAGAAGCTAAGGTTGCTTGGTGCTCAAAGCAGAAATTATGCCTGTCTCTTTAAGGGAGGCTCTAAAAGAGAAAGCAGCTGCTGTGCCTCCCTCCCCCTGTTTTTTCCACTAGTTACTCACTTGGCCAACCTTCTTCCCTTGCCTTGGAGGGATGAAGGTGAAGGGAACTGGTAGGCTGCCTGCCTCCACCTACTGCTTCTAGTTGAGAAGCTGGCACCTGTAGATGTCAGTAGCAATTGTCCTGCTATTTTAAGCTTACAAAAAATACAGGAGTCAAAATTAGTCAAAATGTGTTGCTTTTAACTACTCTGCTGTTTATGGAGAATAAGGCTATCAATAGTTACCAGGCATAATGACTATATATCAGCTCCAATGTCAGAGGCAGTATGTCTCTGATTACCAGCTGTTGGGGAACATGAGCGGGAGAGGAGTAGTACTCTCATGTCCTGCTTGCAAGCGTTAAAAAGGTAAAGGGACCCCTGACTATTAGGTCCAGTCGCGGACGACTCTGGGGTTGCGTCGCTCATCTTGCTTTATTGGCCGAGGGAGCCGGCGTACAGCTTCTGGGTCATGTGGCCAGCATGACTAAGCCACTTCTGGCAAACCAGAGCAGCGCATGGAAACACCGTTTACCTTCCCGCCGGAGCAGTCCCACAGGCATTGGTTGACCACTATGACAACAGAATGCTGGACTAGATAGGCCTTTGCTCTGATCCAGCAGGGCTCATCTTGTATTCTTAGCTTTAGCGCAATAGACTTGAACTGTAAAAGCAAATTCCCCCAATTGATGGAATACTTCAATTTTTGGTACTTGCAGTGGTGTGAATTTAGGCATGAGATATGTGCCCTGATCCTGTTAGTTTATGGGGAAGGTTTTCTGGATGGTGTTGTGCTGCTGCATGATTTCAGTGCCTCAGTTTTCCAATAAGCGTTCACTTTGTATAGTATTGAACAGGGAAGAGCAAAAGGCAGCCTCCCAAGACATGTCTTGCTCTGTAATTTGGTGTGGATGAACAAAACACTTTCAGAATATGAAAAAAAAAGTGCTCCAAAACTGATCTGTGGGGTGTGTGTTTCTGTGTGTACACACGCACACACGCACCCCCCCACCTAAGCAGCATAATATCAATAACAAATAGAGATTTGAGGTGTTTTTTTTAAGGCTCCCTGCCTTTTGTGGCTGCATGCTATAAAGAGCCCATGAAGTGAAGTGAGGGGCTGTTGGCTGTAGGGCAGCAAAAACAGCCACATGCTGTGAACAGTTTCATCTACATCCTTCTAATAGTAAGTTGGTAACAAAGAATGCCATTATTGGGAAGCTCCTCATCCTGTTGCTGCCAATGTTTGCCCAGTGCAAGCAAGAAGCTGCTGAGGAAGGATAGATTCCAGCCAGGAATAACAAAAGGAACCAATTAATATGGTGAGGTTTGAGAAGGATTTTCTCTTGGGACAAAAGGATTCCTTAGAACTGAAGGTGCAGGAGTTGGGAGACCTCTGGTCCCTTGATTTCCCTCTTCCTTGTGTGATTTATGCCAGCCTACTATTTTGTCTGGCACAAGAGAGGATCATAGGGGAAGTAAAAAATCTAACCCGTCACAGAAAGGTCTTGTCTTACATTTCCTAAGGGTTGTTTCTGCCTTTGAGTTGACTTAGCACAGGCCCTGACATAGACAGCAACATTCCAAAACGTGGTGGTAATGGATAGGAGCAAAAGTACTTGTTAATGTGCAGAAGCTCTGTGTGCGCGTGCATATGTGGTGCTTTGCTTCACTTTGCAAGTATACATGGGAGAGCATATTTCTGTGTCCTAAAAAAGTTGGCCAAGGGGTTTTCGTCTGTCAGTCATATTCATGATTTTGCAGCTACTGCACTAAATTATGTGCCTATGGATGCATGTGTAAACCATCATATTACTATGCCTGTGTGTGTGTGTGCGCGCACACATGCTTACGGGTGTCTTCAGATCTCTAATGTGTGGCTCCAGCAGAGCTGCACACTTAATGACCTTTCCCTAAAAGCATTCTCCACCCTCTCGCTCTTGCTGC